TCAAGGACGCTACCAGTTTGGATGGAATGGTCTGTAATGAAATTATTACATGTACTTGGTTCCTACAGGCGGCCTGTTACGCTCTGAACAATATTATAGGTTGTAAGTATTGGAATGCTTTCTTCGAGAAATGGGACGCGCTGTCCAAAAGTCTTGGTTTCAAACATTCAAAGACACCCCGAAGAATCTCTATTGCGACTTGCATTCTGTACACCTGTTGGTTGCTGGCATCGTTTGGATTTATGGGGATTGGAATGTACTTTATCACAAGCTCTGGACCGCCGCCACCACAGGATGCGGTGTCTATCATCATCAAAATCGTCCAGATGATCGTCTACTACTACTTCGTCTCTGTGTGGTTTCTGTTGACAGCCATGTTTGTCATCGCCTGCTATATCATATACATAGCTTTCCGACATTTCAAGAAAAAGTTTGTCGGCGCCATAACCAGTGACGGGAAATTCAATGGAGACATAGAGAACTTTCGTCTACAACACATGAAGTTGTTGGACATGCTCTACACGGCAGACGACATCTTCTCCATGTACGTGCTGGTGACGATTGCGACCATTATTCCGTTGATCATTTTCACACTGTACTTTGTCTTGTTTAAGACTGTGAACACCTTTGCATACGCCGCCACCTGGTGGTCCGTGGGTCTCAGCTTCATTCAGATCATCTGTGTCTTCATGGCGGGAGGTGTAGTCAACCACGAGGTCAGTATAGTCCACGTACCATCAGGTCCCCAAGACCCTCTGAAAACTGACGGACCGATATTATGAATGCAACATTTACTTGCACTTTAAGCAGAAAACTAATACAGTCCCCGTTTCTTTGAGCTTTACATGTATCTACTTTAATATTTATTTTTGATAAATGCCAGCATAATTTTTAACCCACATAATAAAGATTTTTATGCCCCCGTAAACGAAGTTTCGGGGGTATATAGTTTTTGTCGTGTCCGACTGTCTCTCTGTCCGCAAAAAATTTAACCTTGCCCATAACTTTTCATTTAGTGGAGTTATGACTTTCATATTTCATATGTGTATTTCTTATGACAAGACCTTTCTGTGGGTACCACCAAATTTGACCTTTTGACCTTGGAGTTTGACCCACTTTTACATGAAAATTTTGAACTTTTACTTTGGCCATATCTTTTGAACAGTAGAAACCAGGACATTTACACCTCACATAATGTAATGTTTGTTGAAAGACCTTTTACTGGACACCAACAACCTTGACCCTTTGACCTTGACCTTGTAGATTTTCGTACTTGTGAAAAAACTTTAATCTTGGCCATAACTTTTGAACGGTAAGGGATGGGGATTTCATACTTCATATATGTAATTCTTGTGAGCAGAAGACCCTTCATTGGATACCAAGTACCTTGATCCTTTGACCTTGACCTAATTTAAAAAGCAAACCTTGACCATAATTTTTAAAGAGTTAGGGCTAGTGCTTTGATACTTTATGTATTTGATCCTCATGACAAGACCTTTCATTTGATAACAAGAACTTTGACCCTTTGACCTTGAAGTTTGACCTACTTTTTAAAAATTGAACGTTGGCCATAACTTCTGAACAATTAGGGCTAGGGCTTTCATGCTCTACATAAGTATTTTATGTGGCAAAACCTTTCATTCGATACTAATTACATTGACCTTGACCTTGGAGATTTTTGTACTTATTAAAAAAAACTTAAACATTGGCTTACTTTTAAATTTCACAATTGTTTTCTAGTGAGAATACCCTTCTTTTGGTGCCAATTATTTAAATTTTCATTTAAGAAAAGCATAATCTTTGCTATGTTGTCATATGGGGGCATCAGTGTTTCACAAACACATCTTGTTCTTATATATGTTAATATACCTTAATATTAGCTCAAAACCAAAGAATGAGCTATCCCGGTTCATCAAGTTCAAATTAGAAAAACAAAGGTATTTCCTCATCACAGTTAATTATTGGAAACTATTTACGCGTCTTTGTAACTCAATTCATTGTTAAAGTACACGGAATGAATAAATATTTTGACAATTGTCAATTCTATTGTAAACTATACAATCGATGCACATGCCGTATAACTAGAATTATAAACAAAATTTTATGCTTGGCACCTGTTAAAGATTTCTGCTTATCTTCAATAAATAAACACAACTTTCTTCGGCATCTGCTATTAAGGTTAAAGAAATAATAATCTTGCTTTAATAAAACGATTTGTTATCCTCTACGATCGGTAGATTTATTACTACAAAGTTTCAGAATTGGTGTTTAATTTTTTCTTTACAATTAGGCATTCACAATACATGTAGTTGAAAAATATTACGTGATTACATTTAAAAATCAAATAGGAGTAGTTAAATCATTACACATGCTTCTTCAACTACTGATTTTTTATATCAAGTAGTATCTTAAGTCTTTGAATTAAAGAAACATGTACATGTGAATTTTACTTTGCCCATATTATATGAAGCGCTGCATGGGAAGATGAGCTCATTTTCCATGAATTCAAAATCAGTGTGCTCGAATGATATTCTTGAACTGGTCTTTAAACATATTGGACTCTCTGTCTCCAAATATGTTCTGGGCAACTTATCATCCATGCTTGTCTAAGAATTAATAAATGGCAATTGGATAATGTAAAATCTGTTATAGTTGCATGTTTGGAAATGCACCTTATTTACTGTTGTCATTTTTGGCTCATGCTCACTCTTCCCTTGACATTTTTGCAGACCCAAACTTAGTTTTCCCTTGACATTTTTACAGGCCATAACTTATTATTCACATTGTTATTTCTTCAAACCAATTCTTAATATTCCTTTGTCATTTTTGCAGGCCCATGCTGTATTAGCCAGTATCTACACTATAGATTTACGTAACATGTCGCCAGGGGAAAGTATTCAGGTAACTAGGTCTGTTTCATACTTCTGGACGATTCTGAATATATGGACTAGTTATCATCAATAAGAGAGTCCTTTCCATTTTTTGTAGATGACCACCTTTCTGACACAGCTGACCAGTCACCCTATCGGCTTCACGGCGTTTGGTTTATTTACGATTGACAAGCCAACCATCATCACAGTAAGTTGTTCTTTATACCTGTATATTGTCTCCTACAAGGAAAAATTTTGACGGCACACTTTAACTGAGTAAGGAACAATTCTAAGACAGCAACTTTGCAAAAAAACGCTAAAAATTGAGATTGAAAAAATTCCGACTTTTAAAAAGCACATGACTTGAGTAAAAAAAAAATCGTAATTAGTTTGACATCTTGTAAAAATGATATACATGTATTACTTATTTAAAATCAATACTCAGTCTCCCTTTTTTCCTTTGTCCAGTTTGCTGGCAGTATAGTGACCTATGCTGTGGTGGTTATTCAGTTTAAGCCGTCAGGTAATACCGTGGATATGATTAACCAGGCCCTGAACTGTACCTCGCCCTGATGTGGGAGTCACAAAAACCGCACCGCGAAGGACGGGCACCTGCTTCACCCCCTCCCCCTCCTCTTTTACGAGAAAGTTGGGGGTGCTCTATAAACGAAGCATATACCTGACTATTGTGTGCTAGAGACATGTGATACACGTACTGAACCAATGATGATCTTTAATCGTTAATTTCTGTGTGTGAAATTATTTGTTTTATGGTCTACCTCTTTACCTAGTGACAAACATTCCTATGCACCTGAATCTTGTAATGTGTTGCACATCTGTCAATAATTTATTGTAATTTTATGTTTATCATGTTTATGTACTTAGATTTTAATAGAATTGTACGGAATATTTGACTTTTATTTCAAATGTAGTCAGAAGTTTATGAAAATTTGTTAACCCTATACATGTACAGGTATACTACATGTAGTAAGTATACATTGTATTTTGTACAGATGTAATGAGTTTTCTGCTGTACGTAATGTACCTAAATATGATGATATCTTATTGTTCATATATGTATCTACTGATATCAGGCATGTGGTACTGAAATTGCTTTGAAAAAATATTTATAAACAGCATAACGGATGAAATTGATCTGCATTAATTTAAAATCTTGTATGGTTTGTATTAGTTTGTGTACATAAAAAGTACTATGTTACAAAGTATAACATATACATGTATTGTACTTGCATTATAAGAAAAACTGTGTTTGCCGGCTCTTACAGTACAAATATTAAGGAAAGATGCAATAAAATTATTGTCATTAAGAGAAAGGCACCTGGAGCTAAATAATGATTAAAAATCTTCCGCTATCATTCTTGATGTTTGCACAATCCAACTTTTATCCGCATTTTCAGACAATTCGCAGATTAAAATCAATCAATTGTCGGAAAGGGATTGTTTTTCCCCTATCATTTCATATTGAACTCTATGATTCCATATACCCAGCACACAAAAATGTACATTTCAAACAATACTTTTTTTTATTTCAGGGTAAAAATATCCTTTATGTACGTTAAAATCAAATCTTGATTCTATCCCCCCTTCAATATCTAGCGTTTCGTGTAACAGCAGTAATTGACTAGGAAGAAGGAGGAACTGCAATCATATTTGTAAATTTCCTCCAGCTGACAATTAAAGTCAGTATTCATGTAAACACATTTGATAATTTAGAATGACAAATAAAATGTATTAGTGTTATCAAGACTTGATAATAATCAATATTTTTATCTTTCTGGTTTGTACAATAATGTGAGGGTATATTACCCTACCGAATAGCTTACCACGTCTCAATTTCATTCGAACCATGACCTGATAAAACGAGAAGAGAATTTTAAAATTTATTTTCTGTAACCATAAAAAATCAAAATGTAACTTTCAGCTTGCACAAAAAATTACACAACCAATTAAAACATTCTCACTCTCGATTTTCTCGACATTTTTGCGTTAGTGTGTGCGTAATCACATCAATTTGGAATTAAGCTGGCGAAATTTTTATTAATGTTTAATATTTTTTTCAATTAAATATAAGTTAATACATGTATACTCGGCTATCAAACGTTCTCCATAAGCAATCTGCCATTGCTGCATTACAAAGCACGTTACCAATATTTTATACTTGACAAAGCCTTGACACTGAACACAACATTTTTGGTGGGTATGAAATTAAAAGTTTGAAATGTACATTTCCTTCAAGATAAAGGTTTTTTTTAATTTTAGTTCCATTATGAGAATATATAACCATGTTCAGTTGTTCACCATTCAAAGTTAGAATCAGGACTGTTTGCGATGCGAGACATCTTTACATTAACACGGTTTTCTCGGCATATTTCAGGACTATGAACAAGAAGATGGACAATCCTGCGGCGTATAAAAAATGTTTAACATTTACTTTCTGAAGCGATGAGGAAAGTTCTTTAGTAAGAGACACATCATCACTGACATCAAAATCATACATCTTCTCGATCTCCGGGGTGTAATCAGGTCCGTTCGACTGTCCGTCATTGAAGTCATATTGCTTGTATCCCGACAACAGTTTCACTTCGTTTGTTTTGGCATTTGGTGGAAGGTCTTTAGGATATTCAATTTGTTGATCTGAAAATGAAGGAGGGGGTTTTGAGACATAAAACCGGACCCCTCCGGTTGGCCAGTGCGTAGTCATACACCCACATTCATAAGCCAATTTCCTTTTCTCGTAATCATCTTTTGTTGCCCATATTGCAGGGGTCATACAAATGAAAATTATGAAACGCCATCTCCCTGGATTATTTCGGCTTCTCAAAGGTCTAGCGTTAGCGTGAATCAGTCTGGAATCCCATAAAACCATTCCTCCTTTTGGCACCGGAAGTCGAATCGTTTTGCATCCCTTGTCCTTGAACCATTCGAAGTCTTCATCTCGCAGATGATAGTATTCGTTAATTGAACTTTTAAATGCTTGTTTTTTGTTCAGTTTATAAAATTCATCAAGATATTTGTGAGAACCTTCCATTAAATGAAACGTCCAATCGTCTTCGTCTGTTGTTTCGAGGTACACACCTCCTTGGTAGGCGTGGAGCCCTTTCCTTCTTGCTGATTGGTCAGTGTGCAGCCAGTGTTGTCCTGGTGACTCAAACTCCTCCTTCCCATCTTCTGGTGGTCGTCCTATGGCAATGGCATCAACGCTTGACAAAAGTTTGTCTGTTTTCCAGAGTTGTGCAAAAACAGATGTTGTTTTCAGTCTTATTTTCCAAGTCGTTTCGAAATTCCCGGTGTTGTACTGGTTAATCAAAGAAGACTTACTTCTGGGCCAGTCGCCATCTTTGAACTGATCCAGCCACTCCCTGTACTCGGTGACGTAATCGTCACATTCGGAACTCTGTAACACCCCACTGATCACCGTGAACCCTTTATCATTCAGCTCCTGTCTATGTTCATCGGTCAGCATCTACAACAAAATAAACATGAAAACAAAGGAGAGTTCTAAAGATAGGTCGGGTAAATAAGATTAATGCTTGTATGTACTTATGCGTGAAAAGAAGAAAACACTTGCTGTGGCCTTCAACTCGACATTTAGATAAATCGACGTATTGTCAATTAACAATGGTAATTTTCATTCCTACGTCGATACGATATATCCTGGTGAGCTTGAGATAAAAGATTCCACAGAGTCTGACACATCTGTTTCATACTTGGATATTTTACTTGAAAAAGACGTTAATGGTAATCTAACAACAAGCTATATGATAAACGTGATGACTTTAACTTTTCTATCGTCAACTTCCCTTTTTTATGCAGCAATAAACTTTCATCACCTGCATACGGAGTGTATATATCTCAGTTGATTCGATACGCAAGAGCTTGCTCTTCGTATGAACAATTTCTAAAACGAGATAAATTATTGACAAGCAAGTTGATGAAACAAGAATATCAGCCGAGACGAGTCATCATTTCGTAAGTTCTATGGTCGATATGACCTTGTCAGCAAATACAATTTATCATTGAGTTAAATGCTGACTGTTGTTTTTCATACTAATTGTTAGTCCATTATTTATACCCTGAATTGACGACGGATTTTTCCGTTGTTTCCCGATCGTGACAAGGAGCACACGGCGGGTGTGACCGGTCAGCAGGGGATACTCACTCCTCCATGGCACCTGATCCCACCTCTGATGTCAGAGGTCCGTGTTTGCTCTGCTCTTATTTTGTATTATTTTATGGACTTTGAGATTGAAAACTGTTCGTTATCTCCACATCCTTACTTAAAGAATGAAGTGCATGTGTACTTGTCAGCAGGGGATGCTCACTCCTTCATGGCTACTGAAAACGATCCCACCTCTGATGTTTTAGAGGAGTACAATATTCACCGAGAACAAATCAGGTGATTTAGCCATTTGCGGAATACTGGCAGAAAAACAGCAATAGTTGTATAAAAGTAAAACAATCTAACTAAAATTAGACGCTTTACGCTCCTGTTTTTGTTATGTAGTTAATGGAAAGGATCTAATTTTAATTAGATTGAAATTATATTTAATAACTATTTAGGAGCACACGGCATAAGTGACTGGTCAGCAGGGGATGCTCACTCTTCCATGACTACTGATCCCACCTTTGACGTTTTAGAGGTCCGTGTTAGTTATACTCTTCATTTATATGTGTATTGTTTGAATGGACTATTATGTTCGTTATCTCCATATTTCATCGAGAGTCCTCTCTCTCCTGTCAAAAAGATCAGCTGATATAAGCGCTGTTTTACACAGTATCAATCTATCCCTCTCCGATATTTTAAATGACGTTTTAGGGAGAAAATATCAATCTATCGATTTTAATCCCTTTCCATTGCTCTTCATGCTTTTTAATTTGACACTACCTCAAGCTATGTTTATTAATAAGAATTTTAATAAATCAACATTACAGGAACAAATCATCTATTTCTTAATTTGGATAGAGGGCGTTTGATTTTTTAAGCAAGAATTTCAAAGAATATTCACAGCAGCAGTATTATAGTGTTAACTTACCTTTAGCAGTTTAGTTGTATTAGTTGTAAACTTTGATAGGGTTTCTATTTATATTCTGTAATATCAAGTTTATTTATAGAGCATGCAGTGACGTGGAAATGGACATGTCATTGACCAGGTTTAACATTTAAAAGTGAAAGTTTAAGCGTTGCGAAATCCAGTATTTTTATCAGTGCTCTGCTCTGTTACAGTTCCAGAGCCAGCGCCTTTTCACATCATGCAACGATCGATCGCATTTTGCCCTAAACCCCGACAATGCGAACCTGGAACTGCGCGCTCGATTTGAAACGTGTTACAATGCGATTCGCTTCCGGATTATAAATATGAAAGAGATTAAATTTATTCGAGTGTATACTCCAAGATAGGCCGGCCTACCCGACATTAGACACTTGCCAGCTACAGAATGGTTGTCATAAGGTTCCGTGCAGCTAATGTTTTATGTTGTTATATGATATTTAACATTTTGTATCTTGGAAAAGTTGCTTGTGAAGAGGATGGCGAGAGTAGTATAAAATTAACGAAGTCCGAGGGTGATGATGACATGCCTGAGGAGAGAGAGGGAATGATCCGCCTCTCCCCTCCGAAACTGGACGACGAGGAACAGAACAGCCCACATATGCCCCACGCTTTACGGTGTGACGGTTGTCGCGCTATCGCTCACCAGGTATTGTTTTTAATGATTATGAGACGTGTTTTAATTAAGAAGCTCACTGATCAGCCGATAGGGTCTTATTAATCAATTGTTAATGTGTCTGTTCCTCTCTTTACCCTATATTTATGAAATTGACATACCGTCACCCAAATAATATACAGATCATGAGAAGACTAACTTTTTCCTTATTATATGTTAATTAATGAATTTTTTTTGTCCAGCTTTCCTTTGAGTTCTACAGGAGACACCGTGTCAGACCAAAGCTGAAGCGACTGACAGAGTCTGATGTGATGGAGATCGTGGAGAGGGTCTGCAACAGTCATTTTGACAAGTCAGTGTTCTCATTCACGGCTAAGTTAAATCCTTGTCCACAGCCCATAGTCATAAACATTTTCCTCAGTTACATGTATATTCCTTACTGAGCTTGATTGATCTGGTAAGACGATTTGTTTGTTTTTTGACAGTTATGGGTTGAAGGCAGTGGACGGTGTAAACAGATTATCTGGGCCGGGATTAGAGACGGAGAAATCTCCAGGAATGATGCAGGGAGGGGGAAGATGGCCAGTCAGGTGGGTACTTACTCTAACAAGTAAGAGCCTCGGTTAACATACCTACACTCCTTATATACCTCGTTATGTGGCGCGTATATTTGTAGTTTCAAAACATGTATAATGCATACATGTGTATATCTTAAGGCTTCAGTATATGTGTAAAGCATTTATTTGTATTTCTAGCTAGCTAGCAGAACATGTGCATATTTTTGTATAGTCCAAAATTTCTGACGTTTTCCAGGCTTTTTCAAGATTTGCAGATTTTACGTGCCTGGAAAAGGTATCAGGTTCTCAGAGATTTTTCAAGATTTTGATATTTTACATGCCAGGATAACGTTTTCCTGGCACGTAAAATATAAATGTCTTGAAAGAGGCTGGAAAAAGTAAGATATTTTTGACTAACTTTTCTAGGCTTCAGAATATAAGTAAGGCCGGAATTAAAAATATCTTTGTTTCCCCTAACCCGACCCTGAATTCTGAAGGTGGGTCGGTAGGTAGGTAAACAATTTTATTTTATAACAGCAGCTTTGAAAATACATTCTAAAATTTAATAGAAAAAAACTTTAAAAGTAAGAAAAGTACAAAAGAAAGCGATTTGTGAACAAAATGCTAGGTATCAAACATATGCTATTTAAAGGAAAATTCATGATTAATTAATTTACACCTGTTATTTAGTTGAACTTGTGAGATATCTCACGCCAGAGTACATTAATGTAGATCGAATAGATAAAGACAAGATTCTCAAATACGCAAAGACCAGACATCCGAGTATATTTTTTCAAACCTTCCATCAGCCCCCAGTGCTTATAGACAATCAATGTACTTATTGAGGGCCATCAGATTTGCAGTGTTTCTAGAGCATTTTGCTTTAGAGTTAAGAAGTAAGCGTCTAATTTTAAGTCGCAGGTCCAAATACCAATAAGGAACGTTGAAAACAGTCTTTCTAAAGGGACCATAAAACTTATGTCCAGTCTCGCAATGATGCTGGCTCAAAAAAGATCCCTTACTGCATGCTTAATGGCAAAAAAGGTCTGAGTACGTCTAAATTTGGAGCATTGGGAAAATGTTTTAATGTCGTCCAAACAAGTCTATAGAAGGGATTAAAAGCAAAGAAACAACCAATCTTCGAGGGTGTAATTAAAGAAAAATACACTGGGCGTCTCAGGAAGCTGAATCATGATTTCAGAACTAATTGTAAAGAGTATTTAAACAATATTTAATTGAACCAAACCGAATCTACAAATTATAAAAAAGCTACATGTATATACAATGTCATAGTCACGAAGTTTAACCCATAAATAAAGGAAGTAAAGAAAGAAAATCTGAATTATATTTATAAGGATGAATATGCAGACATATTTACAACAACTCCTATGGTTCCGTAATGGCATATAGTAAACATAGGAAGATAGATGAACGTGGTATTAGATCAAAACTCAAATTAAGTAAAATTCAGTGAAATTGAATGATGTGTTCACTAGGTGGCCCCCTCATCTGCTCATTAGGCGGGCCTTACATGTACCATGTATTCCGTACCTTAAATTCAACAGACAGGTTTGTTTGTTGTTTACCATCCATTTCGAAAATTTATTAACTCACATGGAGATGCCAAAACACCTCCGAAACACTCTTAATTAGTCGTGGTAAATTTTATAATCAAATTGTTTCAAGAGAATTCTAGTTAGCTAAAGGCATAAGATTGAGACGTCGCCTTTGTTTATTAAGAACTTTTTCTTAGTAATCACATCTTGGCGCCATTTTCTTCAACAAATCAGAGTAGAACAATGTCGGCTGTTCTGCTAAAAACTGATTTTGATGAAATTGTATTTTATAAACTTAGTTAACAATAAAAAAAATAATTGAATCTTCTTATTTGAAAAATCTTTTCAGTCGGTTCGATTTAATTGGGTCGGTCGCGTTAGGGGAAACAAAGGTAATTTTTATTTTGGCCTAATGTAAATATATTTGTGAAAAAGGGATCATAAATGTAGTTGAAGGCCTCAGAACACATGTAATGCATATTTTATGTATTCCTAGGTTTCAGAATGCGTATAATGTGTATATATGTATTCGTAGGTTTCAGAATATATGTAATGCATCTGTGTATATGAACATGTGTAATGTGTTTGTGTATTTGTAGGTTTCAGAATATATGTAATGCGTCTGTGTATTTGTAGATTTCAGAACATGTATAACGCGTCTGTGTATTTGTAGGTTTCAGAACATGTGTAATGTGTCTGTGTATTTGTAGGTTTCAGAATATATGTAATGCGTCTGTGCATTGTAGGTTTCAGAATATATGTAATGTGTCTGTGTATTGTAGGTTTCAGAATATATGTAATGTGTTTGTGTATTTGTAGGTTTCAGAACATGTGTAATGCGTCTGTGTATTTGTATAGGTTTCAGAACATGTGTAATGCGTATGTGTATTTGTAGGTTTCAGAACATGTGTAATGTGTCTATGTATTTGTAGGTTTCAGAACATGTGAAATGCGGTGTAATGCGTCTGTGTATTTGTAGGTTTCAGAACATGTGTAACACATCTGTGTATTTGTAGGTTTCAGAACATGTGTAATGCTTCTGTGTATTTATAGGTTGCAGAACATGTGTAATGCGTCTGTGTATTTGTAGGTTTCAGAACATGTGTAATGCGTCTGTGTATTTGTAGGTTTCAGAACATGTGTAATGCGTCTGTGTATTTTTAGGTTTCAGAACATGTGTAATGCATCTGTGTATTTGTAGGTTTCAGAACATGTGTAATGCGTACGTAGGGGAGCTGGATGAGGAGGGAATTTACGAGGGATACCTTGAAGACAACACGCTGGAGAACTTCCTGTGTCGTAGGGAGGGACTGTTTGGTTATTGTAAAGACACGCCCCCCACAAAGAAAGAGGAACTCTGATGCTTGTTTTAGTTATAGAGAACAACCTATTTCTAAAAGATCAAATAAGTCCTTAATGTTGTTATAAAATTATAAATATTTATTTTGTTTACTATCTTTACATGTTAATGGTTTACAGTAAGTTGCTGTTGAACAATATTTATATGTAATTTTGTTTTTGTTACTTAATGATGTCATGGATCAAAGATATTTAACAGCTTTCTGAATTTATATCTTTTTAAAAAAATTCAAATAGTGTTATCAAAATAGTGTTTATGTACTTATCAAATTCAATTTTAACTTTTAAAAATATATAACATTCATGAGTTTTTATTAGTTACACATTTATGTGTAACTCAAAGGAAAAATGATTTTTTATTTATTTACTTATTTTTTTGCTAAGGATGTATTTTTCTTTGCTGGAGATCAACTCTCAATCATCATCATCCTTCAATAAGGATTTCACTAAGTTATTTAGAACTTGTTTCCAATCCTTTTGGTTGATATCAATAAACTATGTTCATAAAAAAACAACCTTTTTTTTAAATTGAGAAAATATCATAAACAGCATGGTCTTATAAATTTATGATTTCATTGAAACACTAAGTGATCTCTTCTTACTTCCTGGAGAAAACAAAAAATTCTAACTGAAAGTCTCAATACATGTGACACAGTGTATTTCATAATGACGGTAATATATTTTCTGAATTCATGCATCATAAATTTATTAATGTTTATTTTCTTTCTGTGGAATGTTGTTTTTATCTATTAATTTTTTTTTTTAGCAAAAGTGAATTTCCTAATATTATCACCAATTACTTCCTCACCACAGTGCAAGTCCTTTGAATACATGTGTATGAACTTTGTCACCATTGTACAGTGACATGTAGGGTCATTAATGTTAATGCAGTTTATCAACATTTTTCAACTTTTTGATGACAAAGTACTAAATCACCTTTTTTTTTTAATTTTACACTTTTTAAGTTTAATAGTCTTTTACTACAATACTCAACAGCCCCTATTAATATTGTCCATCTCAAGTGCCCATCAATGCCAGAATTGGAACAATAAAATGCAAATAATTTTCTTGATATGCTTCCTATTTTTTTAATTCCAAATTTTATGTTTTAATCATAAATAAGTTTTTTGTTAAATAAGAAAATATCTACAATTTCCTTATAGTGTATATAGTCTTAGAAGTTGTACTAATGTGAAAAAAGATGATGGTATTTCCTGTGAAAGAATAAAATTTTCAGGGGGGTTAATTTTTGTAATTTCATCTATCAAGAGACATCATCATGTCATCCATAAAACATAGGTAATCAAAGATTACAAAGCTGGGATTGACCTGTTCCAAAAAAATTTACCTGGTCACTCATCTGGAAATGAATATCAGATTCAGCATCCAAAGCAAGTCTCGATTTTCCATCCTTAGATGCATCATCCCTGCAAGTTAAATCATAGCAGGACATAAAATTTCAGAACTACTCCAAAAACATAACACTGGTTACTCATCTGGAAATGTAGGCCAAATCCGCATGTGAAATCATCTAAGTAATGTCCATCCCCAAATGCATCATTCATGCAAGTTTGGTCCATTCCATCCCCAAATGCATCATTCATGCAAGTTTGGTCCATGTAGGATATATAGTTACTTGGGAATAAACCTGCTCCAAAAACTTTAACCTGGTTCATCTGGAAATGTACAATCCAAAGCAAGTCAGGTAGTGTTCATCCCTAGATGCTTCATCCATGCAATTTTTATCCAGGTAGGGTTTATAGTTTCTTAGGAACAGACCTGCTCAAAAATCTTTTATTTGTTCATGCATCTGGAAAATGTAGCCCATAAGGTCAGATCCATCATCCAAAGCAAGTTTGGTAGTGCCCCCTAGATGCATGTAATTACTTGAGAATGGACCTGTTCCAAAAACTTTAATGTGGTCACTCAACTGAAAAATGTAGGTCAGTTCCAGCATCCAAAGCAAGTCTGGTAGTGTTCATCCCTAGATGCATCGTCCATGCAAGTTTGGTCCGGGTAGGGCTTATAGTAACATGTACTTGAAAATGGACCTGCTCTAAAAACTTGAACCTGATCACTCATTTGGAAAACGTAGGTCAGATTCGAATCAAGTCTGGTAGTGTCCATCCCTAGATGCATCATCCTTGCAAGATTAGATTTGGGTAGGGCTTATAGTTACTTGGAAATTGACCTGCTCCAAAAATTTTAACCTTGTCACTCAACTGGAAAATGTAGGTCAAACCCTGCATCCGAAGCAAGTCTGGTAGTGTCTATCCCTAGATGCTTCATCCATGTAAGTTTGGTCCATATAGGGCTTATAGTTTCTTGGAAATGGACCTGCTCCAAAAACTTTAACCTGGTAACTCATCTGGAAAATGTAGGTCAGATTCAGCATCCGAAGCAAGTCTGGTAGTGTCCATCCCTAGATGCATCATCCAGTAAGTTTGGTTCAGGTAGGGCTTCTAGTTACTTGGGAATGGACTTGCTCTTATAAAACTTTTACCTGGGATGCCACCACTAATGCCGACGCAGGGGGTATAGCATAAGCTCATCTCGACTTCGTAGAGGTGAGCTTGAAATATCAAGAGGCCCATGGGCCACATCGCTCACCTGAGAATCTTTGACCATTCTGTTTTTTACCAGATTTCCCCTTTGTAATACATATTGTGACCTACCCCAATGATCAAAATTTTAACAATTTGAAATCTACACTACCCCAGGATGCTTCCACAGCTTTTCTGGCCCAGTGGTTCATGATAAGAAGATTTTCAAAGATTTTTCCTATATATTCATATTTAAAACTATGATTCCCCATTGTGGCCCCACCCTACCACCTGGGGTCATGATTTGAACAATTTAGAATCTACACTTCCCCAGGGTGCTTCCACATAAGTTTCAGCTTTTCTGGCCCAGTGGTTCTTGAGAAGAAGATTTTCAAAGATTTTTCCTATATATTTCTATGTAAAACTTTGATTCCCCATTGTGGCCCTGCCCAACCCCCAGGGGTCATGATTTGAACAATTTAGAATCTACACTTCCCCAGGGTGCTTCCACATAAGTTTCAGCTTTTCTGGCCCAGTGGTTCTTGAGAAGAAGATTTTCAAAGATTTTTCCTATATATTTCTATGTAAAACATTGATTCCCCATTGTGGCCCCACCCTACCCCCGGGGGTCATGAATTCAAAAATGAATCTACACTACCCCAGGGTGCTTCCACATAAGTTTCAGCTTTTCTGGCCCAGTGGTTCTTGAGAAGAAGATTTTCAAAGATTTTTCCTATATATTTCTATGTAAAACATTGATTCCCCATTGTGGCCCCACCCTACCCCCGGGGGTCATGAATTCAAAAATTTAGAATCTACACTACCCCAGGGTGCTTCCACATAAGTTTCAGCTTTTCTGGCCCAGTGGTTCTTGAGAAGAAGATTTTTAAAGATTTTTCCTATATATTTCTATGTAAAACTTTGATTCCCCATTGTGGCCCCGCCCAACCCCCAAGGGTCATGATTTGGAAAATTTAGAAACTACACTACCCCAGGGTGCTTCCACGTAAGTTTCAGCTTTATTGGCCCAGTGGTTCTTGAAAAGAAGATTTTTTAATGACCCCACCCTATTTTTGTCTTTTCTTGATTATCTCCCCTTGTGAGAGGACTTGACCCTTCATTTTGACAATTTAAATTCCCCTTCACCCAAGGATGCTTTGTACCAAGTTTGGTCAAAATTGGCCCTGTGGGTCTTGAGAAGAAGTCGAAAATGTGAAAAGTTTACAGATGGACAGCTGGACAGACGGACGACGGACAAAATGTGATCAGAAAAGCTCACTTGAGCCTTCGGCTCAGGTGAGCTAAAACGGCAAAGTAGGACATAATACTATAATACTTGGACTTACCTACCCCAATCCATAGACCAATAAATTTGACCCCATGAAAATGAATTCTTTATATAGTACCGGGGTACTGTAAACCAACTTTTATTTGCTTGCGAGAAATATCCACGAGTTCCGCGACCTCCATTAACCCGCGAATATAAATCGCCGCAAATCATTCATTTTGCTAAGGATTTATAGAGAATGATTCCTCGGTCGCGGAAATTAATCGCCGCAGATTAATTTTAAACTGACGAATCGTAAATAAAAGATGATGCGAATAATAGTTGGTTTACAGTATTGGTTGGAGATTTCACTTATATAAACTTCAAGTTTTTAAAAAAGGGAGAGGGAGAGAACAAAAAACAGCTGTACTGTTATCACAGATATTTTATTAAATAGATCACATCATTCCAAACAAAAACACTCATTAGAAAATAAACCTGTCCATTTTGTATGGTTACAAGATGTTTTTTTTATATATCTTTTATTACTTAACATAGTGTTAACAAATCCATAGCAAATTCAAAATGTAAATTTTGGGATTTTACAGGATATCAACAATAATTAAATCTCAAAAAACTTTCAAATTGACAATTGAGAACAAGTTTAAAATATTCTACACTGTATAAAAATTCTTTAAACAAGCTCAGGGAAAAAGTAAACAATGCAGAGTTTGGGGGGAGGGGGGAGTCGGATCCCCCTGACTGAATATGTAGAATTATTAAATGCATACATGTATACATGTATACCAAAGCAAATAAAATATATGGCAATATGGATTATGTGTATAAAAGATTCTTTTTATATGGAATATTTAACACACTGTAATGATGATCTTCTGAGTTTGTACAAGCCACATCTCATAAATCTTTCATTTAACATGCTGAATACTATTATTTAGTTAAAAAAAGTATTTCGGGAAAAAAAAAAGATTATGAATCGTCGGGGAATCAAACCCGGAACCTCTCACATGTGAAGCAAGAGACATCCCACTAGACCACTGAGTCGCTCTGCAAAGAAGCAAATTATATGCAATCATAAAGTCACATACATGTATATATTCATGTTTGGTATTGTCAAAATTTTACACAATCCACGGTGTTTGTTTTATTAAGCCTTTAATTATTAAATAGTTCTAATAGATGTAATAAGAACATAACGTCTGCCAAGAACCTGTATTATATTCGATAACTCTCCTTATGCCCCTGTGCTAAAAATAGAAACATGTAATACTATAAATTCTAATAAAACAAACGGGGCGGGGCACTTTGAGAGGGTTGAGAGAGGTCTTTGGGAATTTGATATAAAATTACATTGCATAAGCTCAAAATCTTCTTGAAATATCGTCCGGGAATGATAGTGTTACACAATGAGAGAATGTATAAATTTACGACCTTGAACTTTGACCTTTTGACCTCAAAATCAATAGGGGTCTTCCTTAGGCCACAGGGAGTTGTTATGTAAAATTTCATTGCAATAGCTCAAACGGTTCTTGAGATATCGTGTGGAAATGAAAGTGTTATAACAGACAGAATTTGCTTATTTATGACCTTGACCATTGACATTTTGACCTCAAAATCAATAGGGGTCTTCTTTAGTCCATAGGGAGTTGCTATGCTAAATTTCATTGCAAAAGCTCAAAGGGTTCTCGAGATATTGTGTGGAAACGAAAGCGTTACAGACAGACAGAAAGACGGACGGACGGACAAACCCAAATTAATATCCCCCACTTTTCAAGCGGGGGACAAAAAAATGCTTTGCATAGCAGAGCACTACTTGACCATATACTGTCTAAATCAAAAGCCCATGTTCAGATAATACTGTGAAATTATTACAGTGTATAAGGGGCTTCAACTTTGTTGTTACTCTTTACCTCAAATGTACAAGCTCAACAAATAGTAAAAAAGAATACATCATTTGTCCTTCAAAATTAGACTTATAAACTGATGACCCAAAAACCTATTAATATTAAAACGTATCTAGCAATTAACAACACGTCAGTGACAAGTCATTATAATTGTTACCAGAAAGGAGAGAAAATGTGACAAACCAGACCAGAATTTGATCCTGAATCTCCAGTCAGGTGCTCTATCAACTGAGCTATCTGGTCACTGGTGATCAAACCAGCTTGACATTCACAAAAAGTAATTCACTGTAAACAATGAAAATCTCCAGGAATCATTTTCTTTCTCCGTTTGCCCTATACAGTTCAATCTTTTGATTTTTGAAAACTTAACATCCAACAATAGAGCTATGGACCTGAGTTTCACAAGACCAATTTTTTTAACCGTTCTCTTTCTCTTAAAACTTAAGAGCCCTAATGCAGCTGTGTTCATGGCAATGATTCAGATCTAAATCTTAACTAGAAGAGGATATTCTCAAATTTGAAGTAGTCTTTTAAAAGAAAGTATAAACATTTATTTATTTGTGCCAAAAAAAATCCTTATGAATTAAATAACGACAGAACCCCTTTCTCAACCTAACTTTCATTCTAACCAGATTGACCATAGGATGCTTTGTGCCAAGTTTAGTAAAATGGCCTATTAAATCTAAAGTCAAAATTGTAAAAATATATACATGGACTTTGCTGGAACTTAGTAGAAGGTATCCAATGGTAGTAGATAGTGAAAGGTTACTTCCACATAAACATAGTAGGAAAAAAAAGATAATTATTGGTCATTAAAACATGATTGTGACATCACTTTGGAAAAAAAAATAATGGTTCTCCTAATCAGGAGTGCATGCAACAATGTACGGTATATATAAACATTCATGCCCAACATCAATGACTCAATTCAAACTTCCAGAAATTGTCACTGATGGTTACAAATCAGGAAATATCCCACTCATATGATAGCTTCTTCAAGATGTCTGTAAGGCTGTTTTTAGTCCATTTTCTAAATTCAATACTTTTAACACATACACTCAAACACAGTCTTCACTGGAACCTTTTAGAATGCTGCACATTTAACTCTAATATTTACATTGTCTATATGTTAGACTTGCTGCCTATAACTCGGAGCATGGCTTCTTTAGTGGAGATGGCGGATGCTATACAACCGTCCATGTTGGAATGTGTAAAACCATCACCGGCCAAAATTATTAGAGGTTTCTCGTTCAGTACAACACAGCCAGGGTTGTTCACATAAGCCTTGTGGACCTATTCAGAAAAAAAAAAAGATTTTAAATTACAAACGTAATTATGTTTATACATACAGGAATGTATGTCAAATACTGGTATTAACTATTAGCGTCATTTTAAAAGCACATAGCTCAGTCAGAATTTTACAGCATCAAAGTATAACGGTACTTTCAAAAGAACAACTTCATATAATACATTTTTTTTCATTCAACAGAGGCCCATGGGCCACAACACTCATCTGTATCGCCTTTTAAAGACAAAATAAACAAGATAAAAATACACCACATAAAACATTCATGGCAATACAAAAAAGAGATTGACCTGTGAGAATCTCCATTTATGCCCCTTGATTTCAGCTGGTTCTGGTAACTCTGGTAACACGTCTCGGAGCTGCTGAAGAATAGTGGGAACCATCACATTTTTGTCCTGTTCCAGATTTTCCAAACTAAATGGTACACTTGTATGTACAGTGACAGAGGGCCCAAGCTTGGGGTTGTCTGAAAAAAGAACATATTGATATGAAACAGTTTCTTGGTGTAGTTGTGAATATTCTCCTGGTCATGAGCTGTTACTGTACTCACTGAATACTCTAGAGCTGCACCACATTTCAAGATAAGTGATAAGTTAAAATGAACAACATACCATGGTATTTAAGATATTGGTATCTGAGTTAACAGAGTATAAGTGTATGTACCTTCTACTTTCCCTAATAATATACCTATTTACTTGAAATAAAAGAGTATTTTATTCATCTTAGATTATAAACTACTAAAATTTACATCTTTAATAATTTAAACTTACTCAACCCTCTCTTTTTGTTTTCGATGGCTACAAATCTAACACAGGGACTATCTGTGATGTATTTTCCTCCCCATGTGTAGCTTATTTTGGTGCCAGGATTGTAGAACAGTCCCACGGCAAATCGAGAGGAGTAGGAAACATTCTCCAAATTCTGCTTGACATCTGGCTTTGAATCTTTTCATATGTAGAAAAAGAATAAAGTGAATATACTTCATTATATCTGTAACTCTCTATATCCCTTTTTACTAATTCATTAAACTATATATAGCAAATCTGCCATTTTAATGGTTACTATTGGTACAACCTACTTTGTAATGGATTACTTTAGGTATGACCTACTTTGTTACGGATTACTATAGGTATGACCTACTTAAGATGTCAGCTATTGACCCCTGGAGCTGCAGAATCTGAGGGACAGGCATGGTCAGCACAGCTGAATCACACTCGTACGACTGACCGCTGTCACTGGTCAGCTGTACTTTGTCTCCACTCACATCAACTCGAGTTATCTGCTCACACTTTTTTAACTCGGCTCCTGTAAAACCACAAAAACTTGATAACAGGTAAAAATCATTTGATTAACCTAGCATCGTAGATAAATTTTTGAAAAGTATTTTCTCAATCTGAACCACTTCATTCATATTATCTTTTGTTGATGCTACATTTTGTCTATCATACTCAGATGTTTTTTTTTTAATCTTTCTTGTAAAGAGCTACATAATATTTTATATGTACTAAATCACAATCCTTTTTTTTATATCAATAGCTGTAAATGGCATCTGTGGGATTCAAGACCTATTGTTTTACCAATACAACTACATGCTGGAGACACTTAGTATTGATAGAATTACAGAAGTTAGGAATTAAATCTTACCAAATTATGTGTTAATTTAGCTTTTGTAAACAACTATTTGCACTTTTTCCAATAAGATATGAAGTTATTAAAACAACTGTGTACCTGATTGATTGAGGAAATGCTTTACTATTGAGCTCACACCCTCTGGTGCTATGTAGTTAGTGACGGACGGGTCTTTATTTCGGTGTCCATCAATCTCGCTAGATAAGGTTTTGAGAACTCCTTCTGAAATCAACTCATCATGAAATCTAAAACAAAAAATAAATTTAAATAATGACAAATGGTATGAAAAATGATCTGTTTCAAACATGTGACCTAAATAGGCTAATATCTTAAAATAAACACTATTTTTTATTACTGGCATACAGTAAAATATATGAGCCTTTCTTAAAATATATTATCTCAATTTAGATAAATACAGATATGAAAGATGACATTTCTTGCAACATAACCTTGCTAATTTTTGAAAACATAATGGTTTAAATTTTGAATAGAGATGCCTTTGTCCATGGCATTTATATCCCAATGTGGAAGGAATAGTCCAGTCAAAATAGCAAAAAATTTGCAAAACCCTAAACTAATTGCAACAGATTTTTTTTTAGCATTTCATGAAAGTTCAACATGTAGACAATGTAATATGAAAAATCGGAAAAATTTCATCGAGGCAATTTTTTGTAATTTGGGTAGGAATTATCTAATATATTGTTGGAAAAAAGAGGAAAAAACGAAAATTAACATGTTGAAAATTACACATGATTTTTTAAATTGGCAAGAAGTTTTTGAATTAATATAAAAAAGAAATATACAGGAACAAAAATCTAGAAGATATAATTATTATTTATTATAAATAAACGCGTCATGTTCAATATTATACCATGTTAAAACAGAGGAAATTCGAATTATTTTTTTTCTCCAGATGCCTTATAAATAGTGCTTATGTGACTGTTTTTGGTCCTTAGCCATAAACATTAAATGGGAAATAGACTTTCATGGAGGATTTTTCAATATTTTCTGTGATCAATGTAAATCATGAGCTAAATTAAGTAAAAAACAGAGGAAATTCGAATCGTATATAATATTATAGAAAAAAATACACCTTTACTTACTTTAGAATATATTCTGTAAGCACAGGTAAACAATACAAGTACAAATATACAAAGATACAGTAGGCAAAGTTCTGCACGGGCTGGCGGGAAGAGAGTCTCTGTTGATCTAATTTTTGAATCGGGAAAGTCCTTAAGTAA